TGCATTAATAACATGTTATAGTTTTAAGGTTAAAATTCAAAATAAGGTAAAATCAATGTCTATTTTATGATATTAAATAAAATTTAATTGTTCTATAATTAATTTTTTCAGAAAATAAATGAAAGGTTGTTTTCTTGTATTACATTTACAAAATTAGTAAAGATACACCGCATCATTAAAGACAAGATATGAAAATCTAAATTAAATGTTTTTATATAAAGCTTTTAGTTTTGTTCTTGAAATTTTCTGCACTTTTGCAGGTTATATGCTACCATAAGTTATCTGTGCAAAATTATGGTATATAAATGATCACAATTGTTGAATATCATTCTTATCAGCTAAAATGACCACAACCTTACTGGAATGAACATTTCTTGCAAAGCTATTTTATGAAAACAATAACAATGCTATGGTTGCACTTCAAGCATTTTTGCTATTGTAAGAATTTACACCAAAGATCATTAACTTCACACTCTTACAGGAGAATGAGCTGGGAGTCAACCTGATCAAAGAGACAAACCTTTCACTGCATTAGGCATTAGCAATATTACCACAGAAGTTGTTGAATAGTCAATGAATAATTGTGCATGTTCCAACAGTGCATATGCAATGTCACAGTAGTTAGATTTACACTATGGCAAGTGTGGAAGTACTGGGAAAGTTGGTGAATTGGTGTATCATCTGCAACCAGCACTTCCTTCCTTACCAAAATGGAAATGAATGTCATGGTCATGGAAGATCCTGTGAAGCAAAAAGTCACATTTTCACTCATTGGAACAGTAAACATCTACAATTGTTGCATTTGGGCATGGAAATCTGTATTTCAGCAGATTCCATTCACTTACCTACAGTTATGAAACAGTGTAGATTCATAGACACGTATTTCCTCAAAACCATTCTTCTTCAAAGAAGCTAGTTCCAATGGACCTGTGACATGTGTTTAGTGTTTATGGTGAGCTTGTTACTTGTGGCCCAGAATGACATTTCCTCTATGATAGTGTTCATTTCTTTTTGAAGGAGTTCCTGGTTCTTGTGAGACAGAAGGATGAGAGTATGAGGGTGTCATCAGCAAACCCGATGATTTCTCCTTTTGGGTACCCTTGGTGATTGATTTGGATGTTGAGGAGCCAGAAGAGGGATCCAGAGCTGGAACCCTGTGGGTAACCCCTGGTTACCTGTTTGGTGACAGTCTTCCCTTGATAGCTGAAGCTGGCAAGCCTCTCAGACAGGAAGCACATATACAGCCTCCATAAGAGTTTCAATAATCTCCTCAAACTGGAACTTATCCTCATTCAGGCAGCTGCATAATGGCATAGTAGCATTTAGATCACATCAAAACAGAGGTGTATAGTCTAGTTACAAAGTCTGTTTTTGTTGGCATAATCACAGTGGGGCCTGCAGTGGACCCCAAACTGTTTGGAAGAGAATAGTTTCTGTAGCTACTACAAACACATTTCCCTAGAAAATCTCATCTCTGGGCATGATAAATGGAATGTAGTCAATTGGACTTGTCTGGTGAAAGCTGGTAGCTCTGCCAAGAAGAGTGAAAACACACCAGAGGTGCCTCTCACAGGATCACACTTGGCATGAATGCTGCTGAAATACAGTATCCTATCACTTTGGCAGCCTGGCCAAGTTATCTGCCTGTGATCAAGCACCACTCTAGCTGGAAGCAAGGTGACCCTTTGCTTGCTGTACTCACAGGTGAAGTCTCCTTTGTGGCATGGAGATGCTGAATCTCCTAGATTCAAGCAACCTGTCACTACAAGAATTGGCAGCCGTAGTTGATGAATTCATTCACTCATGCTCCAGCCTGTAGTAGTGCAAGCCAAGTAAAAATCCTGCTATCCAGTAAAGATAAAAGTTTCTCAAGAGGGTTACAGGGTTTCGCATAGCTGATGCTGGTCTGGGGCCACGCCTTCATGCCAAATCTAGTGAAGTAGAAGTTGTACTCCTGTAGCTGAAACCATGCTAGTGACCAGAAGGATAGTGTCTGTAGAAACTTACTGGATTTGTTGAATATTATCTGCCATAACAGATGGTAAGCAAAGCCTCTCTGCAGTGAAGAGCTAATGTCACTGTGACTCAGGGTAGAGACACACTTCAAGGTCTATTATGCACTAACCATAGCCCTCAGAAGTGGAGATGAAACAAACATGTCCTAACAGAAATGAGGGGGCAGACCATATCAAGAAGCCAGACATGCTGAGGTGACCTTGGACAATAACCATTTAAACAGCTGTCCTGGCAGTGGACCAATCCAGACATAGCATAACTCTTAAATGCTTACTCAACTCTCCAAAGGATGCCATGTACTCAAGGAAGGTTGAGAATGGTCCCAACTCCCATCTACTTTATCTTATTTTATGATGGCCAATCAAAGACAGTTAATGTATGCAACTCTAAGCTTTGAAAAGTACAGACACAAATTTCCCAAGCTTTGCAGAAGGGAAATAAAAATGAGCCATATAGTTATTGGAGATTAGGGATTTCAATGTATCTTGCACTGTAAATAAGAAGCAGAAGTCCTGCAAGAGAAAGTGGAATGCCAACAAACACAAGCCAGCTGTAAAGGAGGATAAACAACTTATAGTTATTTTAGAAAGAATCTGAAGAATAGGAGGAAAAAATCTCTCCAATTGTAGCTGTGAAGAAGTCATTACTACAACGTGGATTCTGAGAGTTAGGATGAAATGATGACTTGCCAGCCTGCTACCATCAGAAGCAAGTGCATGTTACATAGACAATAGTACACAGCAGAGGGAGCAGCACAATGCTGTTTTCCAGGGAAGTGATGATCTCCCACTGCCCTTTTGTCAATTGTCCAGCCACTGATGGGATATAGTTGACTGGGAATAGGGAATAATGGGCTTTGCAAGCAACCAGAGGCATTGCTTCCATGAGTAGGACCCAGGACAAGAGAAGACTTCAGCCAAAAGGGAGAAAGAACTTTCCATTGCTAATAAGCAAGAAGGGACTGATGTAGTATAACCAAGAGCTCAAAAACAAGCGAAGAGATTGAGGGAATCTTGGAGGAACTGACAGCTCTGCTAGGTAGGACTGACAACCACTGTCAGAAAAGTTTGTTCTGCTATCTAGTACCTTTTTCAAAAGACCATCTCAATAATGCTGAGACAGAAATGTGAGTTTAGCTTTCTCTGCACTGATGTCAGAGTCATAACTAACAGGAGGCAGTCCATAATCTGTCAAATGATCAACCAAGACCTGATAGAGCAGAAACCAAAGGCCTATGACTACCAAGAAGGTGACCTACATTCATGTAGTAGGCAAATATATCCAACAGCTAGCTGGGAAGCCAAAGCAAGCACCTGTCCTTCCTCTACTGAAACAGAGGAAGGGCAAATGATCTTTGTGAATCCCAGAGATGGGATGGAAAGTAATTATGCAATATGAGATTGCTTAAAGAAGAATGTAAATCTCACATAACTTAAAATGGACATTAAAAACATTTGCCAAGTTAGAAGAAACAGTGTCTGATTGAGGCTGCATCCCAACAAGATGTCCAAGTACTTTGAAAGGAATTGACAGAAAAGCCAAACGCACTGAAAGTGACAGTTATTTGTCAACTGCCTAAAAAGTGCAGGTCCAAAGTTATCATTTATAATTCCAGTCAGATGTCAGTAAAAATAAATTGACAGGGATCATCTATTCCCAGAACAATTTGGGCATGCATGTTGACAACTTGAAGTCTAAGTTCTCCTTGAAAGGAAAGGAAGTCTTGTCAACTGGGTCTGTGAGGTAATGGCTCCTTTGTTCAAAAGGCTACTAGAAAGGGACAATATCCATTTGGGTTGCACAAGAAAGAGAGTAAGAGAATGTTTAGCTCTGAATGTGCTACAGATACTATAAGTTTGGACACAGCAAAGAATGCAAGTTAGCAGTTCAAACCTGTTGTTGCTATTCACAAGACTACTACTATAAGGAATGCAAAGCAACAAAACTTTTATGTAGGAACTGTGGCAAGGCCAACAAGAAGTTTGGTTTGTAGATGTTGACTAGCCAGTCCTGTCTGAGTGACAGCTGATCTTACCCGAAAGAATTTGCTGGAATTCCCATACTGATCATGAACATGAAGAACTAAAGTTAGCTTGAAACAAAAAGGAATCAACAGAACACAGACAAGATTTCTTGATCTAATACTAGGACAAGCCAGGCAAATCTTGTTGACTAGATTTCGTGCCCCTCCATCCAGAAAGCCCTACTTTGATTGAAAGTGAGGCTTTCTAGAGTTACACATCATAATAAAGGCTAATGTAGGTAAGGCTTTTAGGATAAGAGGTGAGTATTTACAAACCCTTGCCCAACAACAAAAGAGTAATGCTCAAAACACTAAAAGAAACAGACAGAAAATGTGGTCCACAGATCTATATCTCAGTAAAATGCTGAGTGGTCCACTCAAACATGAGAGACTATATAAAGGAGAGACTTTTAGAAGCTCTTTTTAACTGGGCATGAGGAGGGATCCTGCAGTCTGTAAAGCATAAGAATTCAGTTCTTGGTTGAATATGTAAAGCAGCAACATGCTGTATAAAAATTGTAGGTAAAGTTAGAGTTGAACATTGAGGATGATAAAGGCTGTGAAGGCTGGTCCCCTATAACTGCTGTAGTGTTAGAGCCAAAACATTTCTTAGTCCAACTTTTATCATTCAGACACCTGTGATTACTGAGTATCATATGCTGATAATTAAACTACAATCTCTAAAACTCTAGTGCTGGTAGGCAGAGTAGAGTCCTATCTTTTAGAGTTGTTGATGTAAGGTAGAAATAATGGAATGATTAATTTTACATTTCCTACTGCCTGGCCACCTTATTCCCTGTATCTTAATTCATGTGATTTTTGGTTTTCAAAACCAAAAATTGAGGTGATTTATTGAGGAAATATTGCCAATTTGGAAACCTTGAAAAACAGCATCATAGAGGATCAGTTAACAAGTAATGTTACACAAAAATGATAAAACTTATGATAAAACTATCAGACTTTATTGTATACATTCACACTTTAGAGTTTTATAAATATTTTTATATTAATATATATACAACACAGTAAGAATTTAATAACAGAAAAGTAAAATATTAATATATCAATACAAACAATTACATCTTTGGAAGCTGTGAGAATTCCCACATGTTCCCCATCTGTAAAACAAGCACTTGGTCCCCATTCACTTGCTAGAAAAAAATATATATCAATTAATTTAAATACTGATAAAAAATTTTTAACTTAACTATTAGCAATCTAAATTTTTAAATAATGCTAATATATATATTGAAAAATGTTAATTTTAATTTAAAAGCATCATATGGAAAATACCCCATATTTTAAATTTTAATATTTTTGAAATTATTTAATTGTTTCTACTTACATGGTTAATGTATATGTTTATATATTTATTTACATATACTTGTATTTTTCCCAATTCTAAGACACCACTGGTTCAAGTCAGACCATTAGTTTGAAATTGAATTTTAAGGTTTTTTTTCTCATGCAGAAAAAAAACTTATTTAAATAATTAATTCTACTAACTTTTGTTAAGTAAAAAATGTTAGAAAAAAATACAAAAACCATGAAATAAATAGTATTTGAAGACACTATTTCCTTGTTCTTCCTTATACAGAGTGCTTAGTAGAATCCTTATACACTGATGTATGATACACAGCAATGAATGCAGCTTGAAGACATAAGAAAATGAGAAATGCACATATCTCGTGTTTATATATAACGAGAACATGTGAATGCACATATGAGAAATACACATTTCACTATAAGTGCTCAATATGCACATTAGCATTTTAAGCTTTCTATTCACACTGTTTATGTACTAAATCAATCATGCTCTACAACTTCCTAATTTACTTTTTTTCCATATCATGCATCTTTTTTGAGATAAAAGTGCTAACTTCCAAATTTTACTGCTTGGGGTGCTGCAAGCAGTCTCATCTCATAATGCATAGTCAGTTTACTATAACTATACATTACGTTCATAACTGTAGCTATCTACATTCATCAGTTACATAAGTATATAAGGACTTTATTATGCATCTGTATGCAATAACTATTCTTTTTAATACTAAATTATAATGTAATCTTGAAGACATTTTAAACATTATAAAAAGTTTAAATTAAATATTTGTTAACAGCAGTGTTCTCTTGAACTAATCTGAGAGATGAACGATACAGCCCAAAAACTTCTGTTATAGTATGTAATGCATTATGTAGTCTGTTCATGATTATTAACATTTTGGACTAAAAATGCATATAATACACTATAAACTCTAAGATGCATTTCCACCTCACACAAGTAAAAATTGGTAAAAAAGTAAATTATAGAACAGTGAAAATACACGTACATGCAGTTATATGCATAAATACACAAGAGTTTATATGAATTAAAGAAGACACTTAAAATTTTCTTACCATCTAATTCAATATGCTCTTTTTCTTTTAAAGTATCTTTATCTATTTTTATTAATTCATTATTTGTTCCTGAATGAGGTTGGAAATATAAATATCCCTAAAATAAAATATTGAATTAATTGATTACTGTAATTTTAAGAATGTTTCAAATAAAATAAAATAAAATTTATAATTAAGAACTAATAACACTACTTTCAGATTAATATCATTAAAAATTAGTTACATTCTCTAATATAATAAATTTAACATTTAAATAATATCTCAAATAAAATGTATGCAGAATTAAACTTCCCAAGATGTCAGAATTCAAAGTTCCAAAAAACAATTACACGACAGCGTCAAAAATAAACCAAACATTTGGATTATAATTATAATTTATAATCCAAATGTTATAAAATAATTTATAATCCAAAATATAAAATAATTTCTTATCCAAATGTTGACGATTTATAATTACAATTTGTTGTTACTAAGCAATGACAAATTGTAATTATAAATTGCAAGCATGTGCACATTTAAACATTTTCTTACAGATATCAGATGGATCCGAATACAAAATGTCAAAATATTGGAATATGAAGTTAAATGTTCTCATCAGAATTCTAAAACTATGCATCATGAACACCAAATCAATATTAAATTCAGCATCAAATCTGGTAAAAACTTTACTGAGACATTTAATCTGCTTATAGAAATATATGGTAATGACTAACGACCAGATTTTTTAATGCAGTTAAAAGGGCATGTATATAACACAATATGTCTATTTTGTTTTTCTCTAAAAACTAGTCAGATATTTATTTAACATTATTTTATGTAATATATATGTTATTTATTGTAGGAAAGCTTAAACATTACAATATACTATGAAATATTTTGATAAATTTTCTTCGGTGAAGAACAATTGATTCAGTCTAACAACACTTTTGCACCTTAAAATGATCTCTGTACATCTCAAGATGAATTGGGGCATACACGAAAAATGCTGTTTTCACTGCCTATTGCTTCACCCTAAATCACATCATTCATGCTATAAATAGTTTTCCATCCGTAATTCATATCTAGCACATGTTTTAATTTCTGCTTCAAAGTGGTTTCGACAAATCCAAGTAGACTATTAGTTTTGTTAATTGTCTAGTTAATTACATCAATTGATTCACTGAGATGAAGTATCTGTTCCAACTTGGTAATCATGTCTATAAGAGAACACAAAATTGGCACTAATATAAGCATGGATTTACTCGATGCTGTCACTTTCAAGGCATTCCAGAGCTTCTGAAATGTACACATTACCTGAAGGTAATCTTCAGGATCAAAAACTGAAAAAAATTATTTTTTTATGTTGTAACTCTTAATTTCTTGTCATTTTTTAAACATTACTTTAGTAAAATAATAACTCTTCAATTCATATTCAAATTTCTATTGTTTTTCTGTCATAGGTATTTTTATCTAATGCAGAAGGTCACCAACCTACGGCCCAGGAACTAAATACCGCATTGATTTATGTCCGTTGTTATCCAGAAATCAAAAATTTTTACAACTTAATATACATTGTAAATACTGTCAGCGTATATTACAGCAGATAGTCATATACCCCAACATGTTGGTACAAGATAGAGGAATACGCACATTTGAAAGCATTCTTAAAATTCCTATCATTGTTATTTGAGGCCTCACAAAAACTTTTTTACAGTTGATGATCAATTTATTGGCACTAGGAAATGTCATATAAACAGTTTTGCAAATTCTGCTAAATGCATGTCCTAAACATGTTAAATGTGCTAATCATTTTGGTATAAAACACTTTCAGCACATTGACCATTTTCAGAATATAGCTAGAAGTATCAGATATGAAAAGATATGCTGTAATATATTCCATTTGATCATAAAATTTGTAGTGCATCATTTATGCATTTCACAATGGTTGAATGCTTGATTCTTCTACAGATATAGTATGAAACAAATATAAGTTTTTCAGCTTGTAACTGTAATAGTTTTTAGAATATGCTTACTATTAGAGGGGAAACTACTGATGAACAGAATTAATATATTTTATTCTTGCGAGCGCTTTCGACGCTCGCAAGAATAAAATATATTAATTGTGAAATATAAGTTTTTGGTTATAAATTCTGCACTTTTAAATGTACTATCATACATGCCAACTATTACATTAACAATGTTCCTACCAAGCGCATCTGTGGTTTCTCAATGGATAACCACAATTTTTTCTTTCAGTGTTTGTTCTGATTGTATCGATGGTTTCATCATATAATTCACTGACAATGTTCTTTCAAAGAGTAGATTCATCTGGTACTTTTCATTTTATATTTCTCAAGAAAATTCTTAAGCACATCATTGCTGAGTTTGTGAAATAAATGTCACATCAATCAACAATTTGTTTAAGTTGTAAAACTGCAACTTATTCTGATGATCTGGTTTGCTTAAATGTTTAAACAGACTCTAATTTTGTATTCCATTGGACTGTAAAATGACAGCTTTATGCAATTATGTGTTTACATTTTGAAGTACTTGTGTCTGCTTTTCATATGCAACAGCTTTATTACACAGCAAGCAGAAAAAAAACAAAGAAAATTTCTGCATTTAGAACTATAAGACAATTTTCCAGTAGGCATGTTTAGACTTCAAAAAATTTTAGTAAATTAAATCAAAGATACTTTATGAAATCAAAGCCAAATGACTGTCAGTAATTGTTTGGCATTAATTAAAAAATAATTGAACTTTTAGATGTTTATATCTTTATGATATCAATTCAACAAGAACACATCATACTCAATTCAGATTTGAAGAAAGCAACTTCAAAAAACTCTTGACGAAAGATAGAGTTAGCATTGAGCAATGCAGCAGTTATAATCTAGAAAATTATCAAAGACAATTACATGACATTTCAATTGGTCTCTCAACAGTAGTAGCAGTCTAGAAAATTCTCAAAAGCAAGAAAATATGCTTTTGCATTTGAAATATGCACTTATAACTCCCAACTTTTGGATCATAAAACTTCCATATTTCCATTTTTCTTCTCATTTTAAAGAATACCAATCCCAAAATCCAAATTTTTGCATAAAAATCCAAGCCCTAGCAAGGACACCAGGTGACAATTACATGAGTACACAAATGATGTAAGTATTTTAAAGGCAGCCATAAATTAATGAGAACAATCATCATTCAGGTAGGTCATCATCTGCAAATAATGAAGAAATGCTAAGTTTATGAAGAGATCAAAAGAGACCACAGACAGTCAATAAATGATCTGGTCAACATTTTGGAAATTTTGATACCATGCCAGTCTTCACAATGATTTAAAAATGCATTATGTCTGTTCTCACATTGTTCTGAAGCAGTTAACAGATGAAGAATATGCAATCATCGGCAGAGAACTGATCAACACAGTTGTTAAAGACCCAGATATCCTAAACAGAGTGATTGCTGATATTTCTTACATAACCCTGTAGGTCATATAAAAAAATACCAATGCTTCATCATGGAAATCAGTCTCTTCATCAAAGTAGAAAAAAATTTCATCTCAACAGATCCAATCCAAAAGGAAAGTAATGTTTGTGGCTTTTTTGATGTGGAAGTCCTTGATGATAGACCTATTAAAATAAGTTGTACATTGAACATTCTTTGCTACCTCTATAATGGAGTAAAATGAAAACACACATTTCTGGCAAGCAAAAAGTTGCACTCTCCATCACATTAAACTCTTCTATTTACCAAATATCTGGAAAAACAGCAGATACATTTCTCACTCACTGGACCTTATTTCAGCAGATTTTCATCAAAATAAAAGCTCTATGAAAGGATAACAGATTCAAAACAGATAAAAGCGTTGTTGTAATTGCACTAAAGGAGACAATACAAAATGGACTGCAAGACTATTTTAATAAAAACTATGAACACTCTGCAAAAATGTATAGCTGCAGATGACACTTATTTTGAACATAATCTATAAATATTTGTACTATAAACATCGTAAAAGTTATATAAAAATTTGGTTATCTTTTACTCTGTGATATATTTTTATCATTTTTTTCTCATAATAAAAGAAGAATAAAATATATAACAAACAAAAATCTAACAGATGATATCAGCTTATAGAGAACCAGTTAAAGAATTTTATTAGGTTATTAAATTAATATAATTATCTTATAAGAATTTAAAACTAATTAAATGATTTCAAAGATTTTTTTAAATTATACAAAAAAAAATAATAATAATAAAATGTAAAATACTATATAAAATAATATTTAAAATGTAATAATATTGTAACAAACACACCCAAACAACCTTAAAACACAGCAAAAACTCTACCAACTAAAATGTTTTTGATTGTTTTTAATGACCTTCCTTAAATAGAATACAAAATGGAATGCCAAACGATAGTTTAAATAACATTCTAGAATATAAAATTCAAATCTGGATCTCAAGGAAGATCATTAAAAACGGTCAAAAATGTTCTAGCTATTAAAGTTTCTGCTGCATTTTAAGATTGTTTGGATGTATTTGTTACTCTACACAGCAGCTGTGAATCAGTAATAATAATGTGAAAATTATATTTTAAAAAAATTTATTAAAAAGTAAATTCCAGAAAAGATATTATCTGAGTAATATGGTTGAAAATGTCTGGCATAGATATTAATTATATGTGCCAGAGTTAGATAATTGTTTTTATTTTTGATTGTCATATCCAGTTTTCATTGCTTTACAATAGATAAAATTACAAGTCGAATACGTTGCAAAACAATATTTGTTTAGAAATTATAAACTCAAACAAGGTTTGATTATAAAATTAAAGATTAGAAGTTCTTTGTTAATGTAAGTTTCTTATAATATTTACTATTAACATATTTTTTAAAATATACTTACTTTTGCATAACCTATCCAGCCTCTATCATCTACCTTTAATCCACCACGACTCATTAATATTTGGCCCTAAAAATCAATATCTTTATAAATAATTATTTTAGACTAGAATAAGAAATTTAATTCAACAATTTCATTATTACTTGAAGTAAGTTTCTGTAATTAAATTTAAAGAAATTTTTGTAACATTATTAACAATTTAAAAATCTTTAACATAATCATCTCAACTATAAGATATATTGTGTTTTCTAAAAAGAATGCTACCATTTTAAATTATTGTATTAATATTAATCAAGTAATACTAATAATAAATCAAGTAAAATTAACAAATTTATACTAGTTTTTTAAGAAAATATCCATATTAGAGAAAAAATTTTAAACTTAATTTAATTTGTACATTCTCTAAAGTCAATTTTTGTTCATTTGAATGATGAACAGAGTATCAAAGATGTAATTCAATTTAAAGCACTTACAGAATGCTACCACTTTAAATTATTGTATTAATAATTATGTTAATTATTATACAAGATTGTTGTAATGTACACTAAAAGATTGGAAAGCCGTCCAAGTTTTATATTTGCCCATTACAATTTCTCAATATGTGCAACCTCATATCACATGGCACACATTCAACTGATATTTAAATTCTTCCTTTACTTATTACAGCATATCCATTGTCACTCTTCCCATAGAAACCACAATTCAGCTGCAGATTACTTATGTTGCACAATGATGAGTGATTATGAGTTGCAAACTGCAGAACATAAAACACCCTCTCAGCTAAATAGCTGCCATTTTCAATTACAGTACTTCCTTGTGGTAGTAGACAGTAAATTGTCTGACACAGATGGGAATTAAAACATGGACAATTATTTTATCAATTTGTGTACATTGTATACTTCTCAAATAATAATTAGCATAATTACAGTAATTTAAAATGATAGCATTCATTTTTGGAGATCCTGTACAAACAGTGATGGCAGGACAAGCAAAACAGAGATAAGGTATATGCCTACCAGTCCAAATTTGAATTTGAATCCAGGTTGTATCACCAATTTTATGGAGGATTTAATCCAGATATGTTGAACTTACCATCATCCAGTCAATCATGTGGGCCTAGCCAAACTCATGAGACATTAAAAATTCTGTTAATGCCTCAGAGCAAACAAATTAAATGAAAAAATATAGCTACATAGTTTCATAAAATCCTGTCAATGCTTTAAATTGAATTACATCTTTGACACTGTTCATCATTCAAATTAACAAAAAATGATTTTAGCGAATATACATATTAAATTAAAAATTTTTTCCCTCATATGGATATTTTCATAAAAAACTAACATAGATTCATTAATTTTACTTGATTTATTATCAGTATTACTTGATTAATATTAAATTTACCTTAATAGTTCCACTAAAACTTGATCCAATTTTATAAATACTGCCTCCACTAAGAATATATAAAAATTTACCATCTGTTGTCATGGAAGCACTTTGTCTAAACTTTCCTATAAAAGATTGTCATTTTTAGTTAATATCAATTACTTAAATATATATATTATTTTAAAAACATTATTTATTTTATTTACAATTATAAAACAAAGTCTGCAAATAAAATTCAATATATACAAAATATTTCTAAGCTATAACTTTGATGGCCAGATGGCTGAGCAGTTAAGATGGCATCCTACCACTCTGGGAGACCCAGAATCAAATTTGGACAGAGTGAAAAACTCCAAGAACTTTTCAGAAGTGGACTATCCAAATATGTCAGGCTCCATTCCTCACCATCTGGCTGCTTCATTGTAGGTTTGTCCAAAATAATAATGAGGCTTGCTAAAAAAAGGCTCTCTCAGTACCCACACGATGGAAAGAGTTAAAGTTTTCACATTCAAATACTCCCATCTTTAGTTGGAATTATTTTGAATTAAATCTTAAGAATTAAAAAGCTATAAGTTTATTAAATGCTATGTAAAAAAAATACATAATCTGTTTTACTATACAAATCTAATGATCACTTGTGATTAAAAACATTTATTTTTATAATAAAATACAGTAATTGCAGGAAAATTTGACTTCATACTCCAAGCAGTTTGTGAGAGTAATTGAAAAATAATTAACTAATATTTACATATTAAATAGAATATAATTATATTACCTTTAGGAATCTGAACACTAAAACTATCACATAAAGATGATTTTGGAATTCCGTGTGTTAACCAATCTGGACGTATAGTTTTACCGAGTAAAACTGCATGTACACTTCTTTGAAGTGAACTTAATATACCTGGTGTCTATATTTAAAATAAAAATAAAAACTGTACATATAATCAAACAGTCAAATATCAAACAAACTTCTGAAACTTATTTATAAATTAAATTACTGGAATTTCTTCAGCAGCTAGAGAACGAGGACTCATTAACATTGCTGAAGTAGCACCAAGTAACTTTCCCGTATCACCTTTTGCAACAGCTAAACTAAGTAAACAAGCGCAAGCGTAAGACGTGAGAGGAGAACTGCTACTACTTTGTCCTGGATCACCAAGAGACTGACTTGAAATATCCAAAAGAAGATCAAATAATGTATCTGAAATGAAATAAAATGCAATTGTATAAATACAATATAATCAAAACTAAAATTATGATCAAACTTAAGTCTAATCGACTGGATTAATTTTTGGCTACAGTTACATTTAGATTAAATTTGTTAGTTTAATCATTCTAAGTGGTCATACTCTCTAACTTTAGATCAAATTGACCTGAAGCAGTACTCAAACTTGCAACACCTGTTCACCATGCAGAAGTTTTGATTTAAGTTCTATTCTAGGTTGTTCTTTTCTTCCAAAATTTTCTACATTACTTAATTAATTTAATTTCTAACTATTAATATTAATTCAAAGATTATGAATAACAACTATATTTATATTTAACAACTATAATTACAACAATATTTAATATATATATATATATATATATATATTAAAAGATCTAATCCACAATATGAGCAAATGTTTTCAAAGAAATGATGTTTGCCACTGAAATAAGTGCCAACAGAGGCAATGAAATGGATCTGAAGGAATCTTGAAATGTCTTTTTTTGTTTTTTAATAAAAAAAACAAAAAAAAAGACATTTCAAGATTGAATATCATCATTGCCATGTCTCATAATTTTGTAATGTCTTCAGAACTAAAAAGTTAACACTATTTCTTCACTCATATAATGATTATTTTTGAATCAGGGAAAAACAATTAATTGACAGCAGACAAATAATCTATTATCTAAAAGAAATCATGTAGATCATTTTATAGTGAATAACAGAATTATTTTAACAAGAAAATTACTGAGAACTGGAGGAAGAACGTAAAGATAAAAAAAAAACTCGCATCTTAAATTACTCCAGAATGTATTATTTAATGCACAAAAACATTTTCAACCCAGGTGATTGGCATTCATCGGTAGTGAAATACTCAATGATCATCAGTTTTTATCATTATTCAAACAAAGTCAAATAGTGACAATCTCAACATAATTACCAAAAATAACTATCTTAAAATTTCTTATTTGCATATTTAATCTTAAAAATCCATTTAATAAGGGTCTAGAAATTACAAAATTCTGTAATTTCTAGATTTCTACATAATTAAGTGAATCTTTAAAAAAAAAACATGCAAACCACAATAACAATTTATTCTTTCTTATCTTCATAATATCCAGAAACAGTCATTAATTTATCATCTGTTTTTTCTATTTCTTTCTAAAATATTTCATGATTTCAATTAGAAAAAATTCTTAACTTCATAACTTTTATTTGAAATTAAGAAATTATTTTTTAACAAAAAAAAAAATACAGTCAAACCACGATATAACATCCTCCTAATTAAGCCACTTCTTAAAGCGTATTAGCGCTTTAAGAAGTGTCTTAATTAGGCGGATGTTCTCCATAAATCTTCCCCGTAAATGTTAGAAAACTCTGTCTTAACTATGAGTTACTAAATATACAATTTTTCATTGTTAACAATACTGTAGCGTAATCACTTAATCACGTAAAAGAAATAATAGTGTAATCGTAGTGTAGTCATGTGATTTGATGAAATCACGTGCTTTCAAACTTGAACTCCAATTTTTATGTAGACCTCATAATTTTCTATTGTTTGAGGTATTTCTGTTTAACGCCACTTTCGATTTAGAGCCAATTTCTGAGGCGAACAAATAGTGGCAGTAAATTGAAGTCTGACTACGTATTCTTCAAATTAAAGAAATTATCAAACATAAATCTTTCAAGAAACTATCGATAGGATGGACCAAAAGTCAGTCAACCAATGTAAAGCCAAATTGCTATCTTATTCAAATAATGTGCTTTATTGTCTATAAAGATTGTTGAAATAAACAATTTTAATTAGTGTTGTAATTTGCCTAAAATTTATATTTACAAGTACAGTATATCGGAACATAGAACACAGTTAACTGACTTTTGAAACTGTGATTCAAAAGTAAGTTAACAGCTGTAAATCTTAAATTGGTGTTTTTTTTCCAAGTAATTTATCATATCTTTTTAATTGTTTTCATCAATTTTGCCAAAGAAAAATACACAATTTTAAAGTTATTTTACGACTTATATTCACGAATGTACCTGAAAAAAAACAACTTGGTTCACTGATTTCTGGATTACTCTATATTGGGATTAATGATGTATTTAAAGCTGTGAAGGAGATTATTCGTAATCAGAGACCAAGTTATGATAAATGTAAGTAAAAAATATATACTTTTAATAGTTCAAAACAAATAATCTATCCAAAAAAATTNAATCATCATCTTTATTTTATTTAAATAATATATATATATATATATATAATAAATGATGTGATGAATGATTAGAATGAATCAAAAATTCTGAAAATAAACAAGCTATTATTTATTGTGACGTTGTTATAATGCCTGGCTGCAATTTTTCATCACAATGCTCTCAATTTTAGTAGTGTCTTCTCCATGTAGATACATACATCATACTTTTCCTGTTAACAATAGAATCATGCTGGTCATCTAACTCCATTCAGGAGAAATCCTGAATGGAGTTAGATGAAAATTTTTTAATTGAAATAACCTGATTTCTGATCCAAACTGGAAGTTCATATATAGTTAATCAGGGCCTCCTTGCCCATACTTTCATCTGTCTAACACTATTCTGAACACCGATGGAAATTTATAGGTGTGCAATTTTTAAATATTGCAGTCCAATAAATACTTTATTACAACTAATAACAACCCAATAACCTTATTATTATAAGTAAATAAGCTTCAGTTATTCCTTATGTAAAATTTTAAAAAATTATAAGTTTAAGTATCATTAATGCTACCAGAGCCATTCCTGGCGGGAGTGCAAAAGGTATCCCTGCACCTGGGCGACTAAATCCAGGGACAGCCACAGACTGTTTATAGTAAAATTTTGACTAAGAATAATAATAATCGAAACTTTTCAGATGATGATTAACCATTTACATAAACAGGGTCTTTTGCTTCATTGTATGGGGGTGGTATTAATTGTTTGATTGACATCACCAGTAATATTGTAAAAGAATAAAAAATATAGATGTAAAAGTAAACAGTGCATATCAAATTCTTAATTATTATTAAATTAATAAGGGCTGCTTATTTTTGCACCTGGGAAGCCAACAACCCAGGAATGGCCCTGAATGATATATTATTAAATTTAAATAAATTCAAAATCATTAATGATTACTACTAATTGTTTACAATAATTTTATTAATTAAATTAAATTAAATATTATTAATTTTAAAACTGAAATTAACTTATTTACCTATTACTTCAGGTGGTTCAGATTTAAGTTCTTCTGGTTGTTGACCCTGCAACATATCTAGAAGTGCTTGCAAAGCTTTTGTACATAAATTTGGATGTTTTTTCCTACTTTCTCGAATCAGTTCAAAAACGCTACATAAACCTATACCAACTATCTGAAATCATTATATAATAATACATGTTAATAATGTTATCTTTTCAAAATTTTATTAAAAGTTATAAATTATTATAAAAATTTTAATTACTGTATTTTTGTGCATAACCTTGATTATCTGTGCTTAAAAAAAAAATGCAAATTCACATCTATAGAGCAAAAACTACTCTCCATGGATGCAAAGTATGCAGTGGACAGGTTATTTTTGTTCTGGAAATTTTCTGCAGGTTATACATACAAAAATACAGCATTCATTAACTCATAATATTCATTAATAGCTCTATGTTTCTCTATATTAAATTTATATATTTTTATTTTTTCATTTCACTGGAGAGAATTTCATGAGAAGGATGTATTACTTCTAGGGCTTAAAATTAAACTAAATGGCAGTTATTTGACTATGACAGACATAATTATATTGCTATTCTGATGAAGTTAATGCTGGTTATATCAAAATATATTAATGTAGATAATAAAACAATACTGACATAACATATGGAGAAAAACAATTCATTCAATGCTAGATAGTATACAAATAAAATCATAATGAATATATTGATGTACTTTAATGAAAACTTCTTTGAATATAGTTATACAGGGTGGTAACAAAAGTCTTTCTTGTAGCCAATTATTTCAAACACTGATAGGGTAATCTATATCTAATTACTGTATCAGGCCTGCACTAAACAATGGTGCAAATTTCTGTCCCTCCAGCCCCTCTATTGGAGAGGACTATTGTAATCTTAGTCCCTAAATGAAAATAGGGAAACAATGTGTATTATAAAGTTGTAGCATATTAAAAAAAATGCATACTATTATCTTTTAGTGCATTCCAAAATATTAGTGGAATACCAGAACAGGCTATCAAATATGACAGGTAAAACGTTTCACTGCACAACACATAAGAATAACAGTGCATCTCTGAATAACACGAATGTAATGCAGAAATGGTTGAATGTGTGGTTAGTTAGAAGTTAGCAGTAATGTGAAAATGGTGTATTTGCAAGAATAATGTTTTATTTTTAAGGTTTGTTTCCATAAGCAATTTTTGACTGTAATACAAAATGATTTTCATCATAAGTACACAGAGAGTAGAGTTCCTAATAAGACTGCAGTGAATACACTAGTGACAAAATTCAGAGATGTGTTCCATTAACAACAAGGACGATAAAAAAAATCCATGACAGTGTACGAGTTACATTTTGTATGAAACAACCTGTGCTATATTATCCAATATGAAACATTTGTAAAATTTATGTTTGCTGAACCTGAAAATGATTCTTTAAAAGACCTGAAAGTACTTGTTTGTTGGTAAATAAAAGGTAGATTAGTTATTGATTGTAAATATTCCAGTTATTTTGATTACTGTAAGAAACATTAAGATTATTATCATCACATTGAATACATTTAAATTTTAATAAGTGATAGAACGTGCTTCCAAATAAACTGCTACAACTGGGAGAACTATAAAAATTTGAAACTATGTTCTAATTAAAAATAGACAAAATAACAATCTGAAGGAAAAAAATAAACAAATGAACATCATTATTCTATTCAAGCATTCCACCATCAAATGTACAAACATGATTATCTCCTTTCGCAGATTGAAAACATTAGAACAACAACACAATACAGAATATATAAACAAAAAACTACTCACACAGTCGACCAAAATCCAGCAATTAAACCTGAAGATGTCTACTTGAAGGTAGATGAAAACGTTCATGCAACTGTTTAATTGTTGGATTTTGGTTTACTATGCGAGTAATTTCTGTTGAAAATATTGGTCCAAAAGTTTATTATTTCAAATTTCACTGGAATTCAATTAAGGCTCTTTGATAGATGTATTTATTGAAGAAAAAGCAAAGAAGCCTCAAAATCATTTATCAACAGTTTATACCCAATGTGTGTGGATCTGATCCTAAATATATGGATATTTGAAAACAGAGGAATATACCCAAACTAACTTTAAAAATAAAATTAATTTTAAATTTATTAATATTAATTATAAAACTTTTAATCTCTAAGGATTTAAGTATGTTTAAAATTTAAAAGAAAAATTTTCTAAATTTAAAATGTAAAAATTTGACAAATCTTAATTAAATTTTAAAATTTTATGTTCTTAATTTAGAAATATTTATCATATTAAAAATAAATACAGAATATCCATTCTCAGAAATATATTCAAACATCAACACATCAAATTACTCTTTAGAATGAACTAATATATCTGCTTATTGAAGTTTCTAACAAAAAAAAATGCACTCTAACTCTAGTACTTTTAAAATCCATCTTCAGGAGCAAAGGTTAAGTTATAAAATAAAAAGTACTAGTATTGCAGACATGTTTCTTATTGAATCTATAAGCTGGAACTATTGTATAATAAAGAAAATTCACACCTTTCTCACACTTTCCAGCAGTAACTATTTAATAAACAAATGTTTTCAGCTGCATTCAGGACCTGCATCAGGTTACGCTGACATGAAATTGAACATCTATGACGATTTTAAAGTTTGAAAGATCACCCATTTTCTTTGACATCAATTGACGATCTTCTAAACTTTAAACGCACTACATTTGATTTTGTATCAGCTTAAACTGATGCAGGCCCCAAATGTGACCAAAAACATTTATTTATTAAACAGTTACTGCTGGAAAGTGTGAGAAAGGTGTGAATTTTCTTTATTACAACATGTTTCCTTGTTAGAAGCTACAATACAACAGTAATTTTGATTCATCAGAAATGCATAAAATTAGTCTTGATGAAAAATCATATTTAAAACAATGTTCTGTCTTTGGTTCAAATCAGTTACATTATATTTCAGAGAATGGGTGAAAGTTCATCCAAAATAATAAATTGATTAAAGAGGAAAGAAGCTAGCACTGCATGCATCAAAGTATATGATGAAGAAATCAGTTCTTTGATTTTGAAATGATTTATTAACAAAAACAACCACTCATACCTTTAACTGCAATGTCATTTTAAATGCCCTTGAAGGGCATTTAAAACAACATTGTATTTAAAGATATGTGTACACGGTTGTTTTTGTAGTTTATAATGAATGCAGTTTTACTGAATAGATTTATTAACATTTTAATACTAAAAATCTGATTTCTTAATTGTATACAGTGATGTTTTTAAACATACTAAAAGGAAAAATTGTGACTTTTACTGACATTTATAATGACTATTAAATTAATTAATTATATTAATAAATTATATACTTTTGGAACTTTAATTAAATAATCTTTTATCCTATCATCTTCATCTTCAGATTCAGTATCTGAAATCCTATTACCAAGAGTTTGTAAATACAGCTGTGTGGCTTCAGACATTTGTTTTTCCAATACGCACTGCCTAACATTAGCAAAAACTGCAAATGATGATGGATTACTTTTAACTCCAAGGAATGGTAAATGCTGTATAATGCCTTCAGTTGTTTCATTCTGAAATTATTAAAATAAAATTTTTTATCAGAAAATTAACAAAATAATATCTTTCTTATTAAGTAATTAATAAAAATTAAATTGATTTAATTTTAGAAAACCAACTGAATTTATAGAAAAATAATCTAATCTTGTATTAGATCATATTCAGCTGAAAACAGAACAAGTTGCATGTATTATGTTTAATCAGTAGAGAGATACATAAGTTATATTGTGCCATCAGATACATTGCTTACTTAGTTTGTCTTCCAACATATGTGATGCAATGAAATGCTACTGTATATACAAACAGTAAATACACTCATCAGCCAAAACATTATGTCCATCCCTACACTGTGGAAATGAGTGCACCTGGCTGGAGCAGATGACATGTGACAAAATCTGCATGGTACATAACAGCTTCTGGGAATATAGAGAAATTATTCTTTCAACAGCATGTGTGTGAAATGGAGAAGGCTATTGATTTAAGCAACTTTGACAAAGCCTGACAGCTCAGAACAACTATCTCACAAACTGCAAAGCTTGTTAAGTGTTCATGAGATGCCATCATATCTATGAAAAGTGGAGGAATGACGGTGAAACTTCTAGTAGATACTGAAGTGTTAGATGTCTACACCTCATCAAAGAATGTGAATGTTGGAGGGTTTCCCACTTAGTGAAGCAAAATAGGAACTCAACTGACAGCTGAATTCAATACATGTCAAATTACAACTGTTTCCGAGTACACAGTTCATCGGATTGTTGGATATGAGATTCCAGCGGATGATCCTCATATATTCCTCTGTTAAGCAAGCATCATTGTCATTTACAATTCCATGGGCTTGTGAACATTGTGACTGGACCATGAAACATTGGAAAACAGTTGCCTGATCAGAAGAAACAATTTTTTTTACATCATATTGAGGCCATGTAAGGTTATGCCATCATCCACACAAACAGTTGCTTGATATGTATTGCAGGATGTATACAGACTGGTGGTGGCAGTATTATACTTTGAAGGATATTCTTTTGAGCATCCCTGGGTCCAGTAGTTGTAGAGCACACCACAAAAGCTGTGGACTATATCAACATCATTTCTGACCAGTTACATCCATTTGTGACTTTTGTCTTCTCCACTGGAATTGGACTCTTCCATCAGAACAATGCTCCATGTCACATTTGTGTAACAGTAGTTTGAGAAGCATGATGATGAATTCCAGTTGATATCCTGACCTCCTAACTCACTGGATATGACTCCTTATTGAGCACCAGCTCAGAGCTCACAATCTATCTTCTTGAATCCACAAGAATTGCATGACCTGTGCTTGCAAATCTAGTACAATCTTCCTCCAGTCACTTACCAAAAACTTGTATAATCCTTACCAAGATGGGTTGCAGCTGTTTCGCATATGAAAGGTGGATCAACACAATATTAGATGTGTGGTCATAATATTTTGACTGATGAGTATATATAGTTATACTATATATTATTGCTATTATATTAATTATATTTATTATTATATAATTATAATTATTGCTATTATATAGCAATAATTATAAAACTATATATATAATTTTATAATTATGTTATATATTTCAATAAATATTTAAAAACCTTACTTATATATTAATAAAATATTGCTTTAATTACAAAGTAATTAGATCTAAATAGTTATAAAATGTAACAAGAATTATTTTGAAATATTTATAATAAATTAATCTTTAGCATAAATTTTTAACAAGTAATAAATAAATGTAACATTATATGTATGAGGTATCTATGATTAGACAATTAGATGGCCAAGGCAATTAAGACATCAGCCTATTGCTGGAGGACCCTGGATTGCTTCTAAGCAAGAAATTTTCCAGAATTTCTTAGTCCCAAATATATATAAAGTTATATAAAGAATATTCAAAATAAAATATAAATAAAAAAAGCAATTATTTATTGTGACATCATCACAATGCTCTCCAGCTCAAATTAGTACTTTAGTGTNTTGTATTTTTTTAACAAATAAAAAAAGCAATTATTTATTGTGACATCATCACAATGCTCTCCAGCTCAAATTAGTACTTTAGTGTCTTGCCTTTGTACACCATACTTTTCCATTAGCAATGGAGTCGTGCCAGTCATCTGTCTAATGCCTTTCAGGGAAAAATTTTTAAATTGAAATGACATGACTTCCGGTTTGCATTGGAAATTCATATATAATTTAATTGGGGCTTCCTGTCCCTAAGCTTTCCATATCTGTTCTTGAGTTTCATTTATCTAACACTGTTCTTGAGAAAAACAGAGAGACTAGAGGAGAATTTATAGTCAACAATTTTTTCAAATTGCAGCCCAATTACAACAGAAACAATAATTATAACTAGGACATTGGTTAACTTTGTTGTATTGCAACAGAACAGAGGTGGAGCCAAAAAGAAAGAAGTAATCCCTGCATCTGTTAGGCACAGAAGAGGCGATCCTTGTACCTGCTGGCCATGATTCTTGCACTGACTGGTTTCAGAGACGATATCCAACAACAAAGCAATCATCATTAATTACTTTGTTCTTGTGTTTTGTTTTCACACCTATTTTCCGTTAGGCACACAAAATGCTGTTTTTAATTTTGTTCCCTAGGCCTAATTTCTGTTAAGTGCACTCAGTTGGTTCAGAAAGCATGAACATTGTCACTTTAATACATCTGTATATTGAAAACAAATTCATGGACTCCTATATTTTTACATTTAAATGGACTGTCATTACATTTTTGAATTCCTCACCACAATTAATGAAAATGGCAAGTTTTATCAAAATTGGTCCATTAAATTTTGAGAACTAACTCTATTCTATAGCAAAGCCCATAGAAGATATGCTAGCAATCGTGGAATATCACACGGCAAAGTCGCACAATTAGCGTGATATCACTTTGTCAGGCATTGCTCGTGCTACAACCTTATATCTTAAAAACAAAGTCATGGAACCCCATTTTGTATTACATATTTGGATTCCTCATCACAATTAATAGAAAATGGCAAATTTTAATCAAAATCAATCTAACAGATTTTAAGATTGAACACAATTTTGTAAGCCAAATAAAAGAGGCTTTGCTAATGCTCTGCCTCAATTAACAATAAGCAAAAACACCTGTGCATTAAGTATTATACAATGCACAAATTAAATAATTTGTGCATTGTATAATACTCGGAAGAGGGGGACCTAATTCTTGCACCCTGTGAAAACGAGTAACATCCACTATGATCTAATAACCTTAATCTTTGCTATCATTACTTTCTACCCGAGCAACACCTGATTCATCTGCTAGTTAATTATATTTATTTAAATCAATGAAAATTAATAAAAATTAGGTAATTGTATTTTCATATTTAAAAATATATAAATAATGCCTATTTGTTTCAAAGTATATTTATTAATACTAAAATGATTTTCAATACAAAAAAAAAATAAATAAATTCCCAATCAAATCATCTTTTTGGAGCAGAATATTTGATTTATTACAAAATTAAATTACAATGTAAATTTTTATTAAAGTTAGCTTATGGGTGATGGATTGTAGCAGTCATAAGATCATCCAATAGAATGCTAAGAGTCTGCTTTGTTCATTAAATTAGTGTTTGCAAAATGTTAAATGAAGATTTAATTTACTATTTAATAAAAATGTTTTTAGCCGGGACATAAGCATAAACTTTAAAACATACACACGGCATGCAAACTTTTTTATTACTGTATAATTTTTATAAGTGTGTATGCTGCCGCCAGAGGAAACTTTTTAACATTTTGCATGTTGAGGCAGGTAAGTAGCCTCCAAATAAAGGTAATCTCTGCCGTAAAATTGTTATTTCATGGTGGTGTTCGAAGGGACAACGAAAGAGGACACTTTTACAGTTTGACCAATGAAAATTTCATTTGTAAATTTTTTCAAAGTTAATTTACTATTGTCTTCTAACTCAAAAGTAACTAAATAAAACTTTAATTTTTATATAAATGTTATTTTAATTAATATATAACAAATTTCTCTTGTACAGTGTTTAAAAAAAATGAAGCATATGAACCAAAATCATTCTTTTCTGCCATTTTTTCTAACAAAATCAAAACTAAAAGTTTTGATTTTGTTAGAAAAAATGGCAGAAATGAATACTGTTGTGTGTAAACTAAACAAAACATGACACATTCAAGCTAGGACTATTGTTTTAAATGTTTAATGAGAAAATAAATTATATTTTTTGTCAAAAAAATTCTCTCTTCAGAATGAAAAACAGAGTGTTCATAGTTTGTTAGAATGCAATTATTGCATCATGTCTTAACTATCAAAGTTCTGTGAAATAATGTTTTTATATAGATGAGAGACTTATCACCCAGAAATTTATCAGTTTTCAAGATACAAATTTAAGTAAGTGTTTAATAATATCAATTAAAACATGCATTAAACTTAAAGAACATGCACTTTAAAGTTAAAGAAAATGAATAGGAGAAAACTAAAGGAAAAGTATAAGTTTACATGTCTTTGGTGGTTTTGGGAAAAATTTCAATGGCAGAAACATATGTCTCTGATGCACAAAGTATTATTCATGTTTTCTAAAGACACTCTTAAATCTGTTTAATTAACAATCATGAAGAAAGAAGAATCCTTGCAATTCAATAAATTATATTTTGGCAGACCCATTCACACAATACATATGCAGTTTTTACTTTTCACTTCTGTTTCACAATCAACTAGTAGTTTCCTTAAAAGTGTTCCTATTGATTAAAATATATAACAACTAGTTAAAACTGATAGTAAAACCATGTTTGTTATCAAAACTCATCTTATCAAATCCTTTATAGTTTAACATTCTCCAATAGGCTGGAATTCAATAGATTTCCTTGGCTTGGCTTGAAGTAAAAAATTCATCCTCAAACTGGTAGCAGAGACTGATTTATATGAGTGAAAAACAACTTCCAAAGATGAAAACTTGTAACTGTGATGTAAAACGTCATCTGCCTGTTTTCTGTGTTGTAACACAGGGTGATTGTAAAACAGGCTTTGGTGCCTTTCAGCAAAGAAATAGCTGTTTGATGTACTTTGTAATTGCAATTTGAAATTTGCATAAAACCTATCCACTGCACAACCTCCATCTCCTTTCATATTGCCTTATCCACACTAAATTATAGTAAATATCAAAATTTCAATCATAATTGTATTTTAAGAGTTTATAATGAATGTGTTTTTTGTAACTAACAAAAGACGAGATATGAATTTCTTTCTATTCATTCATTGATTTAATCTATAAATTAATTTTTATAGCACATTTTAATAGCTATCTATAAATTTATTACATTAATAATTGAATAATCAAAACTAGTTTAAAAAATTTTCCTTGTATAGTCTTGAGAAAATTCTAGTATTAATAAATTAATAAAAATAAATTACAATAAAGAAGGTTTTCTTCAAAAACATCACGAAACCCGATAAATTTGTAAAGCCAAATAACCATAAGATTATATCAGGCTACTTTTCCGCAATTATATTTAATTAATTACTGAATAATTTGTCACTAAAGAGAGGTGTTCAGTAATGTTTTCTTCATTTTAATATATCCTCTAAATCTATAAATCTTTTCATTATTAAATACTCTTGATAATTAACTTACAGTTCAAATACTACTTCTAGCAGACAGCTTTTTTTACAGCATACAAATTTTTTCGGCCTCTTAAGTGGCCTGTTTCATATATAATAATAATAGGGATAAGTTTCAATTGAATTAAGAGGCAAAAAAATTTGTATGCTGTAAAAAAGTAATCTACTGGAAGCAGTGTTTGAAATGTAAAGTAATAATTTATAGTCCCAGTTTCTGGGACGTTTTACATATTATTTTCTTATGAAGTTATATATAACTTACTCTAAAATGGATTTTGTTATCTTCTATTGTTATAAATACAGCTTACATTTATTCTAGTAAAGGAGATTATAATAAAATATTATATACTTACTTTTAATCTTTTTTTATCTTTTGCTTTACATTTTTTTCTTTTACTTTTCTTTTTGTCATTTTTCTTTCTATAAAATAAATTTTTTATTACTCACTTTCCATTACCATAAACTTTCAAATGAATTTAATTGTCCAGCTCTTTACTATTAATATTTTATTTATATAAATAAACTTTCATTGAAAATGTTACATTTTAGTAACATATAAAAATATGAAAAATAAAACTTAATTAAAATTTATAACAATATCTCTAAACATAGTGTGTTTTATTTAATCAATAAAACACTTTATTTGTGTTAAACTAATTGACTTATTCTGTATTTTGAACTAACCAAATTCCTTAAATGTGTAAATTCCTATATCCCCGACTGGGACAAAAGTACAGTTACAAATTAACTGGATTTCAAACTATCAGAGTTTGAATTAAGAGGATTTCCTGTATGTAAATATTTTTTTTCTGTTCTATACATTCTTTCCTTAACTAATACTCTCTAAATTAGAATGAATTATCTATAACAATCACATAGAACTGTATCATTACCCAATAAGTCTCAATGTTTTCAAATATAGCTATCATAAAATGAGAATTACTTCTGCTAATCAAATTCTAAGTACAGTATTTAATTTCAATCCTATTCTCTTTTATTGCACTCCAACAAATCAAAATGTCTGTTTATCATAAACCATGTGCTGTCTCCACTTATATTCCAATTGGATCTTGTGATCCTTTTCAATACAAGATAGTAACATTCAGGGCCTTGATTAGACGAGCCTACATGCGTTTTTCCACTCCACAAGCACTAACACAGGAATTAAAACTTATAGAAGAGATAGCCAGAATGCATTGTTATGACCACCTTGTACAAAGATTATGTGAGCACCACAGACATACACAAGAAGCATCCACTGGTTCCACCGAAATACCAAGAGATAAACAGGAAGAGGATAAGGAAAGGATCCCCATCACTTTTGACTCCCATTTAAAATCATTGTACAACACAATTGCCAAGAGACATTGGGTCACTATTGCCTACAGGAGGTGTCCATCCATTTTCAACATACTGCACAATGGAAAAGACCCTTCTAACTCCAACAGACTACCAGGCATTTATAACATCCCTATCAGAGACAACAGGTGTGATAGGGAAATGGTTTACGCTGGCTCCACTAAACGTTCAATGGGGTCAGATTACAAGAACATAAATCTGATATACAGCATAGCAGGAGTACGACCGTTCTCTCCACTTACACGACGGGCCCAGATATTACGGTGGACTTCTCTGGAGCCAGAATTATCCTTACCTCCCTGCACTCAGAACACCTCAAATGGTTAGAAATCATCAAAATTTTTAAAGCCTGCAGCAGAACCATGCAAACATCTAGAATATTCTCAGAGGGGATAGCATTAACACAGCCAACAATTCTTTCCAAGCAAGAGATATAGAGAAAACTGTAGATTACAGAGATACCACCAGCCCCTACCATCTACCAACAATTACAATTAACTCCAACGACTATACAGAAATAAGTATTTTTACTGACAGCCCCAAACAAGACACCAGAATGGGAAGCAGTTTCGTGGCCTACCAAAAAAACATTGAAATTCACAAGAACAGTTACAGGCTACATCCTAACTAAGAATGGCTAATAGCTCCGCCTTTCAGGCTGAGCTATTAGTCATTCTTAGGGCCTTGCAACAGAGTAACAGCAAATTCAGCAACACTCTACACCCTATTTTTACTGACTGAATCTCGGCCTTACATCTTTTGCATAACTCAACATATCACCTGCTCACAAACTACATTACCAAAGAAACCATGACTACCTCCAATATTATCAACTTTAACTGGGCCAAGGGTCACATTGGGACAGTAGGAAATGAAAGAGCAGATGATCTTGCAAAGTCTGCAGCTCAGAACATGGACCTGCAGCGTGATTATTCCAAAATTTCAATAAGGCACATCAAGGCTAATCTAAAACAGGAACTTATTAAGAAATGGCAAACTGATTAGATGGATAACCATAATCAAATAACATTTAAGTTTATACCTATTACTGACGATTACTTACACATGACTGGATACACATTAACCACTACATCACTCAATTCCTGACCGGTCACAAAAGGTTTTATTCATACCTCTATTGCTTTAAACTACATCATTCGAACTTGTGCCCCACTTGCAGCGTCCTTGATGGAATCGAGCATTACATCTTTAACTGCATTGGACTAGAGAGAGAGAGACTCTTCCTAAAAACATTGGTAGAAGAAAATGGAGACGTCTGGCAAGAGGAACACAAGAACCTCCTTAAGAAACAAAACTACAAATACTTCCATGACTTGATAAAAAAATATTACATCATCAGCACTGTTCCATGTTTGAGACATTGAACTTTACCTATTGGCTACCAATTCAGCTTATGTGCATTCTTATTCAATCAGCAATGTAGCATCAATGCTTCTTATGCACATTCTGCCTTTAATCGTATATTGAAGTTCCTATTCAACATTATAACGCTTAATGCATAATGTATATTATAGTATTGTTATTCATTATCATTATAACTTCTATTGTCATCATATAATAATCATTGTTGTGGGTTTTTTTCTATTTTCAACCATTTGTAATTACTTTAATGTAAATTAAACATTCTATAATGTATTATACTGTATGTTAAGCCCAGCTGTGCTCAGCAGAACTGGCATTGTACATTGTACAGACTGACTAAAAGTATTGTATTATTATATTGCAGTAGAACCATGTGCTTTTGTAACAGCATTTGTTAGGATCAGTATTTTACAAAGAGAAATACACAACAAAATCTACAGATGGTGTTAAAATCTAATGGAGTAAAAAATATTAACTTGTACTGGAACTAGAAAGAATTAATCAAAATTATCACCTTTTTACATATTCCAGCAAATAATTTAATATCGTAAAAACATTTTTGATCATCTTTAGCGATCTTCCTCAGTTAAAAAGAACATTAAAGAAATAGAACAAAAATTAAAATTACAAAAAAATAATAACTGCGCATGCGTAATGATGAGAGCTTAACAGAATGAATACAAAAAGTTAGGGATATAAGACTAAAAGTAAATAAATAAATAAATAAATAAATAAAAATAAAGAGCTCAACAGTTTCTCATTAAAAATTAATGTTTCATAAAAATTACAGATTATGTTCATAGAATGATTTCCATGCTGTGGATAGAGAGTGGGCATCCCTATAATTGATACGAGTAGTTTTCCCTTGGGCTTTATAAATCTCCAGTTTTTCGAGATGTTTGATGGAGTGCTTATTAGACGTGGGTGTAATGATGGAAGCTTGGTCCCATATAACCTCAACTCCTTGCTGGTTGGCGTAAGATGCTAAAACAGTGCTATCGTTGTTCTTTCTAATAGAGTATTCATGTTCTTTGATTCTTTGTTCCAAGCTTCTCAAAGTAGCACCTATATAAACACTATCTGAATCAAAGCGACGGTCTTTGATTGGTATGGAGTAAATACCGGAGGTAGCGATCTGGTTGTCATTCTTTTTATCATTTCTCAGTAACTTGTATACTGTGGGATTGCGGCGATATATGATCTGTAAATTATTGATGTTCGCAATATCCTTCATCATTTTTCTTAAGAAGGGATGATAGTTGATTACCGCCATGCGTTGATTGTTAATTAAGGGAGACTGATTAGTTTTAAACTGAAAAGTTGCGATGAGTTTTTTAATGAGATTCTTTTGGTAACCATTCTGTTGTGCTATTTGTATAATGTACTCTAATTCCTTGTAAGTATCAAGTATATCTGTGCAATGAGTAAAGGCTCGTTTGATCCACAATCGGAAAGCTGCATATTTAAAGTGTCTAGGATCCATTGAATTATACGGTATGATGATGTTATTTAGGCCCGGTTTTCTGTATATGTTAGTGCATATTTCACCTCTTTTGCATATGATGTTGACGTCAAGGAAATGGATATTAGTAAAGCTTTCCTGGTCCAGTCGCAACTTTAAACCGTAATTATTATTATTGGTGTTATTTAAGAAAGCAAGGACGTTGATATTAATTTAGTGTTTATCAACGTCCTTGCTTTCTTAAATAACATCAATAATACTAAATAACATCATCATACCGTATAATTCAATGGATCCTAGACACTTTAAATATACAGCTTTCCGATTGTGGATCAAACGAGCCTTTACTCATTGCACAGATATACTTGATACTTACAAGGAATTAGAGTACATTATACAAATAGCACAGCAGAATGGTTACCAAAAGAATCTCATTAAAAAACTCATCGCAACTTTTCAGTTTAAAACTAATCAGTCTCCATTAATTAACAATCAACGCATGGCGGTAATCAACTATCATCCCTTCTTAAGAAAAATGATGAAGGATATTGCGAACATCAATAATTTACAGATCATATATCGCCGCAATCCCACAGTATACAAGTTACTGAGAAATGATAAAAAGAATGACAACCAGATCGCTACCTCCGGTATTTACTCCATACCAATCAAAGACCGTCGCTTTGATTCAGATAGTGTTTATATAGGTGCTACTTTGAGAAGCTTGGAACAAAGAATCAAAGAACATGAATACTCTATTAGAAAGAACAACGATAGCACTGTTTTAGCATCTTACGCCAACCAGCAAGGAGTTGAGGTTATATGGGACCAAGCTTCCATCATTACACCCACGTCTAATAAGCACTCCATCAAACATCTCGAAAAACTGGAGATTTATAAAGCCCAAGGGAAAACTACTCGTATCAATTATAGGGATGCCCACTCTCTATCCACAGCATGGAAATCATTCTATGAACATAATCTGTAATTTTTATGAAACATTAATTTTTAATGAGAAACTGTTGAGCTCTTTATTTTTATTTATTTATTTATTTATTTATTTATTTACTTTTAGTCTTATATCCCTAACTTTTTGTATTCATTCTGTTAAGCTCTCATCATTACGCATGCGCAGTTATTATTTTTTTTGTAATTTTAATTTTTGTTCTATTTCTTTAATGTTCTTTTTAACTGATGAAGATCGCCAAAGACGATC